AGGTAAGTAACTGAATCTGTGTTTTGTCTTGGAAATTCTCCTAAATCACTAAAGTTAAGATTAACAAGCAACTGGTCATAATTTCTTCTTACCATTACAGTGCTCAGCAATCATATAAATTGTGTGATCATTGCTTTTCTTAACTGGTTTTTTTTATTTGTTTGTTTCTGTTTTTGTTGTTTACTTTTTTCTCCATTGGGTTTGACCAGTTCTATCTGACTTGATCAAATCAAAAGGAAAGTTCCAAATTATGGGGAAAAGGCCTCTGAATTGGATAAATCCCTAGAGAAAATAAATAAATAAATAAATAAATAAATAAATAAACAAACAAGCAGATAAATAAATTTAAAAAGAGGGAGAGCCGGGTGGGGAGCGGGAAAAGCAGCCATCAAGAAAATAAGTTTTGACTACCTGAGGGGCTTTATTTATATAACAAGGCCACCTTTGCTGGTCAAACCAAACTAAAAGAGCAATGGTTGTCACCTTACACCCAGGCTGCAGTTCAGTAGCTAAGGTTCTGCCCCCTTTTTCACCATGACAACCTGGGTTCACTTCCTAAATCAATTTCTCTCCAGTTTGATACTTGTGTTACTTTTGAACATTTTTTTCCAGGGAGCTTTCTTAGCAGGAGCTTTGTTGGCTTCCTCCCCAACTGTTACAGAACAGCTTGACCGAATTCAAAATCCAGAAGGTCAGAGGGTATGCTGGGAAGATGATGGAATGAGAAGTACCTGGAATCTAGACAACAACTGCACTGGCAAGATCTGTCTGATGTAAATATTTCAGAACTCTGGAGCCTACTGAAGGCTTGCAACTTCCAGAGGAAGGCCCAGATGGTAAACTGTAGATAATTTCAGCCAATTTCGGCCCTTAGCACAATAGCAGTTACCCAACACTACTCCCAAAGCAGTCAGCTTGTGTTCCTACAGTAAGCTGCACACATCTTTCAGGATCAGAATTAGCAAAAAGGATGCTGTCTCCAAATATTGGGGGTCTGGGCTGGGTGCAGTGGCTCATGCCTGTAATCCTAGCACTTTTGGAGACCGAGGTGGGTGGATTACCTGAGGTCAGGAGTTGAAGACCAGCCTGGCCAACATGGTAAAACTCTGTATCTACTAAAATTAGCCAGGTATGGTAGAAGGCACGTGTAACCCCAGTTACTCAGGAGGCTGGGGCAGAAGAATCACTTGACCCAGGAGGCGGAGGCTGCAGTGACCTGAGATCATGCCATTGTACTCTAGCCTGGGTGACAGAGCAAGACTTCATCTCAAAACACACACACACACACACACGCACACACACGCACACACACGCACACACACGCACATATTGGGTCTCTGTTCTCTAATGGCTGATTGCAGCACAGGACAAAGCATCTGGCAGCTACTGTTGTACCTCCCCCCAGTGTAGCGAACTCCTTACTCTAAGCTGAAGCAACTTCCAGAAACTTTAAAGGGATGGTACCCTTTTTTTACCTTCCCTCAATTTTTCTCTTTTTCCCCTTTTTGTAGCCAGACATTAAAGGATAAAATATTCAAGAGTAGCTGCATATACAGGTAAAATTAGGGAATGACCACACACCCAGGGAAAGGTTCAGGCTCAGAAAACATCTGTGAAGACCATAATTTTTTTACCTCAGGCTGATCCTTGATACAGAGACAACCTACAATAAAAAAAATAATAATAATAATAACAAAAAATAGCAAACCCTGAGGAAGGAGAAGAATCTAAGTTCTAGAGTTAATCACACTAGTAGATTCAAATGTCCAGTTTTCAACAACAATAACAACAACAATAAAAATAAATAAAAGCAAAAAAAAAAAAACCAGAAACTCTTACTGAAAAATACCTCAGAGTCAAATTCAGCTTAGGCCATGGGGGAAAATGAAGAGAAAAATAATAAATAATTAAAGAGAATAAAAATTCAAAAAGAAACCTGCTGGAACTTCTACTTGACAGACTTTAAAACAGCTGTCTTAAAGGTGCCCAAAGAGCTACAGGAAGATGTAGCAAAAGACAAGAAAATGATGCATGAACAAAAGGAAAATATAAATAAATGATAGAAAATCAAAAAAGAAAGAAAAAAGAAGTACTGGATCTGAAAAGTAAAATAAGTGAAATAAAAAATTAACTAGAGGGATTCAAAGTCACATTTAAAGAAAGTTGAGCAGGCAGAAGAAACAGTGAACTCGAAGACAAGGCAACGGAAATCATCCAGTTTGTGGAACAGAAATAAAGAAACAACTGAAGAAAAGTGAACAGAGCCTAAGTGACCATCAAGTGGACCAACATATGCATTGTGGAATTTATTTGTTGTTGTTGTTGTTGGGGGCTCAGGGGATGGGGCTTCGCTCTTGCTGCCCAGACTGGAATGCAATGGTGCGATCTCGGCTCACCGCAACCTCTGCCTCCTGGGTCCAATTGATTCTCCCGCCTCCGCCTCCCAAGAAGTTGGGATTGCAGGCATGCACCACCATGCCTGGCTAATTTTGTATTTTTAGTAGAGACAGAGTTTCTCCATGTTGGTCAGGCTGGTCTCAAACTCCTGAACTCAGGTGATGCTCCTGCCTTGGCCTCCCAAAGTGCTGGGATTACAGGCACGAGCCACTGTGCCCGGTCTTGCATTGTGGAATTTCTAAAGAAGGAGAGAAGGGCAAGAGAGAATATTTGAAGAAATAATGGCTGAAAACTTCCCAAATTTGATGAAAGACATGAACACAAACACAGTAGCCTAATAAACTCCAAATAAGATAAACTTAAAGAGACCTATACGAAAAAACATTATAATCAAACTTTCAAAAGTCAGAGAAAGAGAATCTTTAAATCAGTAAGAGAAAAGGAACAGGTTATATGCAAGAAATGTTTAATAAGATTATCAACAGATTTCTCATCAGAAACTTTGGAAGCTGGAAGGACAGGAAATCAAAAGCTGCCAACGGCCAGGAGTGGTGGCTCACGTCTATAATCCCAATACTTTGGGAAGCCGAGGCAAGAGGATCATTTGAGGTCAGGAGGTCAAGACCAACCTGGACAACATGGTAAAACCTTGTCTCTACTAAAAATACAAAAATTAGCCAGGCATGGTAGTGGGTGACTGTAATCCCAGCTACTTGAGAGACTGAGGTGGGAGAATCACTTGAACCTGGGAGGTGCAGGTTGCTGTGAGCTGAGATCGCGCCAGTGCACTCCAGCCTGGGTGATAAAGTGAGACTCCGTCTTAATAAACAAAAAAACAAACAAAGTTACCCATGAAAGGGAAGAGGATCAATAAATGGGTATTCCAAAAAGTCAAAAGCCACACAAATATCAAGCCAAAATAAACTGGTTCCCTGACTGGAAATTGAACCCAGGCTATGGCAGCAAAAGCACAGAACTTTAACTACTGAACGGCAAAGTAGTGCAGATTTTATTGTGAATCCTGGAAGGGATCCAGAGCAGGCAGTTTGAGCTTATGAAGAATTTTACTTTGTTTTGGATCAAATTTTGCTCTTTAATTTAGTCAAGAGAATTTTTCCCCTACACAACACAGATAATATTGTCAAGAGAATTTTTAAGGGTAGCTCTATGACACTAGTATGTGCCTTTCTTTAAATTTGATCTTCCTATCAGCTGTTTAAAATCAGAGATCTCTAAATTTTTTTAAATTCAGGTGTCTAATTTAAGGGATCCATCTTCAGTCCACTGGCAACTAGAATTTCCAATGGTGTAATTATTCCAATAGCAATTCAACCAAATAGCCTCTTTGTGGAAAGCCCAGGATGTCATTTTCCAGGTTAACTTCCTGGGAAGTTCATACAAGAGGCAATCCCAAAGATTCCCCTCCAAGAAAAAAGTTCAATGCAAGGAGTAGGCCACAGATGGTTAAGGATGATATTTGCCTCCAGATATAATCTGGACGCATTTGTGGGGGCTTCCAGTCACAGACTTGTGAGTCTGTGATACCATGTAGGCCCTCTTGGGATTGAGCTTTCCTAGGACTAATCAGGCAACAAGAGTTGAGACGACAAAAGCCTCGAAGGGATGGGATTTCTTAAGGCAAACCCCAAGAGCTTGACATAGTCAGAACAAAAAGTGTGCTCGGGTTCCCAACCATTTTCAGACAGGCTACCTAGTATGACCTGAAAATTACCACCTCTTACCAGATAGGTGAAACCAAGAGAAAGTGTTCCCACTTGGTCCCAAGTCAAGCTCTCAAAGGAGATAAAATAAGATGAGAAGGAACCTCAACCAATACTCCCCTTTATGACAGAATAACACAAAAAGACAAAGACAAAGGAACAGACAATTTCTGGGAAGAAAGGGATTAAACAATTTGAATTGGTACCACAAAGTACCAAAAAGCACACCAGAGTCACTACACCCAAGACTAGTCACACAAATCCTTTTCTCCCATTAATCAAGATTTTGGAGAGGGAATAGAAACTGATTTTTACTATTCACTTGATCAGATTCCACACAGAGAAGGATGCCAGGAACCTGGCTGTTAAAAAATTCTTACCCTTATGACAGCTGATCAGATCCTGGGTTCTTCACCGCAGCTTCCAGAAGAGCAGAGCTTTGCGATCCTGCTTACAGCTCCAAAACTGCAGGGGCCAACGGAAACCCCCTCTTAACCCTCTGAAGTTTCACTCCAAAATCAAGTCACAAAAGGCAGATTAGTAGGTGAAAAGGCATGAAATGTACTGACATGTTCATGGGGAGAGCCACAGAGTGACTACCCTACCCTATCCACAATGGGATGCAGAAGCTTATATACCATCTCGAGGTAACAGAATGAATGAGAGCTCAAAGCATGGCCAAAACCAGGTACCATCAGAGTCAGAGGTATATCCATTTATTGTGGACAAGACAGGTTATCGGAGGGAGAGAAGAGGAGGCTTGGCTAGCAAAGTTGGTCTTAATATGTAAATGAAACCTTACAGGTAGCAGCTCTCAGAGAGAATAAACCCTAAAAGTTTCTTTCAGACCTTTACAGGTGTCAGACTCTCAGTTCATCTTTCCTAGATCTGGGCAAGGAGACTTGGCTGCATCAATGCAGACTCTCTACAGACGCAAATCTCCCCAACAAAAGACAATGTTGCAGGGCTACTTCTGCAGCTGGCTTTCTGAACAGACATCTCAAAATATGTCAAAGAAATGTATTTTGGGGTAAAATATTTTTAATTCCTTGACGTCTACGTCCTGATGCACCTGCCGTTTCAAAGCACCATAGTTGGTGGCAACTCCATTCTTCCCTACACTCAAGCCAAAAAAACAGACTCTCCTTGAGGCTAGTCTTTTTCTCATAGCACACATACAATTTGTCAGAAAAATTATGTTTCCTATTTGAGTTAATTACAGACTTTGATCTGCCCAATCTTTCTCTTTCTTGGTCTCTGAATTTTGGCGAAGGAGTCTCCTGATACAGGGGGGATCGATTCTAATGAGGGGAATGAGGAGGCTCAAAACTGTCAGACTTATTTAAGAGCCTTAATCTCTGGGTCGGGGTTTGGGCCGCCCTTGAACCTTTTCTTTGGGCCTACTCGTCAAAATCAGCCTGGCCAGGCCTGTCTTCAAGGCCCAGGGGCAAGGCCAGGTCCTTCCCGGTGCTTCTTGAAGCTTCTCCCGCACCCTCCCCTTTCCTGTGACCTGCAGAGAAGCTTCAGGGGGCATTTATTCAATTTGCTAGGAGCCCATGAGGCGCAGGTGCGAGGTGACTCTGTGGTTCCCACCACACCCGCCGCCCTCCTTGGTCCTCTCGCTGTCTGAGGCAAGTAGCAAAGTTCCGGGTGAACTTGGGCGCCAAAGACACTCGCCAGAGAGGGACCGGTAGGGAAGGGCACCGGCCCTTAGTTCCTTCTCAGTAGGGATCCGAAAAAGGTCTTGAAGAAATAGAACGGGAGAGTTGGAAGTAGATCAAAGGGAAAAAAGGAAATCCTAGGAGACTTCCTATCTGAAGGCACCACGAAGAGAAAGGCCGCCTCCTCTGGGCCAGATCCTCACTTCACTGGTGAACCGAGTTCCAGTCTCCTTTGGAGACCAAATCAGTTGACTTTGGCTTGACTCCTAGTGAAGAAGCCACTCTTTGTCCTCCCTTGTTTAGCTCTTGATCCTGAAGGACTTGATTGTCTCTCTCGGGCTTTCCATGGATTCCAGGGATGCAACTGAGAAGTTTGTATTTAATGCACTTACTTGAAGTAAGAATAGTTTAAAGTATTTTTGCAAATAAAAGGTTTCCTTTTGCACTGAAGACATTCAGATGTGAGGAAAATCACTCGGCTGGGGAAAGCAAATGCTGTTGAGAATGTCTCACAAACACAAATTACACGTCAGCAGGTAGCTTTGACTCTCTGGTTGGGCACATTTTAAGTGCACTGTTGGTGGAATTTAAGATGAATCTAGGACATTCATGATTAATATTTTTAGTTTTTTAGTAAAATTTAATATTTTAAATTTAAATACACAATCCGAAAATTATATAACCAGCACGAGAAGCTGGCTTTATGCCATTTTTACAAACACAGGAAAGAAAGATATTATAATGAAAATGCTGCATAAATCGCTACAATTTTTAAGTACCTAGAGAAAATAAGGTAACCTAAAATTCTATGCAAAAATAAAATTTCAAAACTGTGAGTGAAATAAGGATACTGAAAAACATACAAAAGCTAAAAGAATGTTCCAACCCATGCTACAAGAAATCTTAAGAGTCCTCCAGGCAGAAGCTAAAGGATACCAGATAAAAATGTGGGCCTATGCAAAGAAACGAATATTGGAAATGGCATTTAGAAAGCATGTACTACACATTTTCTTATAATTTAACTTTTAAAAAATATTTGATGTAGTAAATAAAAGTAATAATAACGAATCACAAAGCTTACAATACATAAAGTGAAATTACATAACACTAGGATAAAGGCCAGAAAGGGAGGTATAATGACAATTGAAAGCAGACTGTGAGAAATTAAAGATGTATCCCAGAAACCCTAAAGCAGCCACTGAAATAAGAAAAGGATTATAGCTAATAAAGCAACAAAGGAAAGAAAATGGAATGAAATAAAAGCTATGTAAACACTATCCTGGAACAACTGCTCTCCAGGCCTCCACCCTATAGAAATATACCAGTGGGCAATGAGAAATGTACAAGAATGATGCCTGCAGCATTATTTGTAATCATAAAATAATAGAACCAACGTAATTTTAAAGATATATGAAAAAGGTTTTATTTATTTATTTAACAGACAATTGAACAAATGATGGAAGCAAGTCCTTTGCCAAAAGGAACACAGAGGGTCATGATGATGTACTCCTCCAAGGATTTCAGGGTTCCCAGACTCCTAGTTTTCTGCCTAGTTCTGGATGATGTGATTCTTGGGGAGCAACAGGTCCTCGAGTTTGGGGCTCTTTCGGATTCTCTCTCCATTTCCCCATTCTGCTACAATAAATAAACAAATAAAAACAATTCTCACTTCCAGAAGATCCCGCCTGGGCCTCTGCACGAGCCTTTCAGGAGGTCTGGAGGTCTGGTCCGCCGCTCCCCGGCTTCTTTCCAGGCTTTTGCTTTTCCCTTCCCCTGCTCCTGCCCTAAGGCCCCAAGACACCCGACCACCGCCCAGCTGAGCCCCCGAGGCTCCACCGCGCAGAAGATGCACCGGAGGCCCTGCCAGTTGCCCGCCCCGCGGGGTGCCGAGAAATCAACGCTTTGTAAAAAAAAGTTCCCCATGGAAAATATCTCTTGATTTCCACTCTCAGGGTTCTTCAAAGGACTAAAAGCTAAAGGCGACGATGGATTCATTCGGCAAGTCCTAGTAGGGCGCCCTGGTTAGTGCCAGACCCTGCTCCCCGCAAGGGGACCCAGGAGCGACCCTCGCCACCATCCCTTCCCTGGTGGAGTCCCCAGTGCGGGACACAGGATCCGAAGATGGCAGCGGCAGCTCCGCAGCGGCCCCGAAAGCGACTGGGCGGGATGGGCACAGGCTCCCTCACTGGGTGAAGGCGGCACAAAGAACGGGAAGAACCATCCCGGGAGCCCGCCGGGCGTTCAGTTTCCCTTGGGACCCCTGGCGGCTCGGACTGGGTGGCCGACCGGGGAGCTTCTGGGGGCTTCTGAAGCAGGAGAGGGGCAGGGCAGGAGAAGGCCATTCGGCTCTCCGTCTGGCTCCAAAATCTCCTAACGCGCAGGTATCCAATGTGACCAGCGCAACTCATCGCTCTAATCTCTCTGGTTTTCCAA